TAATAATACATTTTATTTATAAAGCGCCTTTCAGGACACCCAAGTTAAGAAACGAGTAAACCAAGGTACTGCCTTTTGCTACTCTCAGCTTTAAGCTTTTAGTTTCAGGTTCTTCAGTACATTTTAGCATTCATTCAGCACTCAATATTCACATTGAAAAATAATAGAAGATGCCATTTTCTTATTTATATTAGATTTTATTATTATTTTTTTTACCTTGAGTACTCTTTCTTTAGCTTTTTCCATCTTGACAGCCACTTGAGAAGGCTGCAGTTTGGTTGATGATTGGAGGAACTGCTCCAAAGTATAGACAGCACTATCCAGCAGCTGCAACACACACACARCAAATGTTATGTATCCTTATTTTGAGTTGTTTCATGGAGTTTTTTTTTCTGAAGGCTCCACATCATACCTGCTCCATCTCTAGCTGTGCAGAGTGAACGAGTCTCTGAGTGCTGCTCAGTCCAAACCTCTGCTTTAAATCCTCCAGTTTCTCTGCCAGGCTCTCCACCTCTCTGTAGTTCTGATCCAGACTGACTGAGCGCAGACCGGACAGGACCTGGAGAACACACACACACACACGTGTGCAGTCCAGGGGTTAGGGTGGGGCATGCACACCCCACTACTGAACTTCTCTGGTATTTTCATGTACCCTAGGGCCCACCCTTTCAAAAAAAGCATGTTAACAGAAAAAAAGTGGGGTCTCACTGCACCCCCAGGGACCGCTTTTTGACCACACCCCTTTYTCACTGTGACCATCAAAGTTAGGTATATACAGGAATCTTAACTGCTAATAATTTTGCTATAAACCAACCAAATTTTATAAACAAGGCATCAGCAGGTTCGTATTGAATAGATTTCCTATTTAAATGGCATTTCATTAAATAATTGTGCACATGATGATGTCATCGGGGGGTCAAAAAGCCACAACCCCAACAGGAGATGAAAGTTTCCATCTTTTATCTGAGTTTACCAAACAGACCMCAACTATTAAACTTCTTTTGCATTTTCATGCACCTCAGGATCCACTTATTCAGAAAAAAAACCTGTGAGAGCAGTTTTTCACCACAACCCTACAGTTCACAGCTCAGAAGTTCAGTGATGTGAAACTTACATGCAGATTACTTCACTATGTAAGAAGAAAATGTAATTAATCTTGTGTGAAATGATGAATATTGAATTGATCTTTTAGTTGGATTTGCTTTTGTTGATTTTTTATTCAACAGATTATGTCACCATGGGTTAAAAGTAGTACATAAGACCACTGGTGATTACTCAGAAACAAATGTTTATTGAAATTAAAAGGCTTTCACAGAACTATTCTTTGAATAGCTTGAACTCTAGTTTGTTTGGCTTATCTAAAATTTAAGAAATTAATGTATCCAATACAGCTTTAYGTGCAWGTGCTAAACCYGTCACTCTCTCACATCAGTTCTTCAGAATAAAGGTCACTGTCAGTTTTGAATCACTGTCTGAGGACTCTTTGACTTCACTATGGGAAGTCTTCTCACAAGGTGCTTGTGGCTGCATTTTCACTGGTCCTCCCATGTCCAGCATTCAGAATGTTTGATTTCGGGACATAATTTTCTTCTAAATTCCAACTTGAAAGTTGAAACACTTAACAACCCTGATAAATAGCAAAGTTACTGGCAGGTTTGTACCCCTAACTTTGATGGTCACAATAAAAAATGGGTGCGGTCAAAAAGGAATGGCGGGTAGCGAGACCAAACTTTATGTTAACATGCTTTCTTCGAATAAGCGAACCATGGGGTATGAAAGTACCAGAGAAGTTCAGTAGTGGGTGGAGGGTWTTCATGGTGACCCATGGACTTCAAACACAAATATAAAAAGTAAAGATGTAGCTCTCTGGGTAAATTGGAGCAAGGTTTCACAAAATTTCTCTCACCTTTTGTGTGTTCTCATTTCCTCCATTTGTGAGTGAAAAGGCCGAGTTCATCTGTGCTTTTAGCACATGTTGCATCCCCAGAATCCCTGCACCTATGTGTTCTGTCAGTGCTTCAAGGATGGAGGACACGTAAGGTACGACAGACTCGCTGCACACTTCCTCTGCTTCTTTACAGATGTGTGCTGGAATGACACAAATTYACAAAAAGCAGAGAAAATTGAAGCCCTTTAGCTGCACTTCATGTGCCTCTGATCAGACAAAAAACAAACTGGAGGGTCAGATGTGGCACTAATTTTAAGTTATGTGTTTGTGGGACAAACACGGTGTACGTTACCTCTGACTTTCTGCTCCAGGAAGTTGTGAGAGGACATGATCTGGTCCAGATCAGACCTGATGAGGGCCTGACTGGCTGCTGCTGTCTGACGACACTCCTCCCTCTGAGCCTCCAAAGCTGCAGTCAGCTGCTCCAGCACCAGAGTGTAGGTCGACTGCACGGTCTGCGCACAGGAATACAAAATATTACTGAACTATGGCAAATAAAACAATAGTTTGTTAGTTTTACACAGGCTAAAAGAACATAGCAAAAAAAAAATACTTAAGTTCTGATACCTCAGCTGCTTCAAAACACATCCTAGTCTTAAACAACAGGTTTGTTATGGTTCACTCACTGCCAGCCACTGTCGGATCCTCTCGGTCTTCTTGCCCTTCACCTTAGTCTGAAGCTGGTTTTGTAACCATTGCAACACCTCCTCCTCCATCACCAGGGAGGCCAACACCTGCACACAGGTACAGTATTCATGAAACACATGTCTGACAGAGAGCAGGCCGACCAGCAGAGGGGCGATGAATGTGTCGRGGTTACTGACTTCTTCCTCGGTGCCCAGCAGCTTTTCCCAGGATTCATAGCATCCTCTGTCCTGTTGGTAAAGACGCAGGGCCTGGGCGTATGCTTGGCTCTCGTGGGACGAGTCATGCCAGGGGTCTGAGGAAAGCAAGGGTGGGGTTAGGATCTCTGCAGGAGTCCATCCACTCAGATTTACAAGGTRCGGCCCATTGATTTGTTTCGCAAATAGAAGATTGTTTTGATTTTAAAATATTGTAAAAAGTTCTTTGCAATAAAACTGTAGAAGTGACACTTTTATCTGGAGTTCTGTTGAAAGTCCTCCTGATTGAGAGATGCCTTAAAAAAATAATCTGATATACATGATATACGTACATGACAAAAAATAACTAAGTATTTATTTTACCTCCTTTCTATACATAAACTTTAGAATTTTATTTCAACCAAATCCAAATTCTTTGTCCTGTTGCTTTAATTTTTTTC